CACTCTAGGTAGGGCATTGCTTCCATGACCTGATTGAAAACAGTACCACCCCCTCCTGGCACCCACCCCCCATTCTTTGAAACCTGTTATCTTCTCCAACTGCTGTGGTGACAAAAGGTCTGACATTGGTCATTACCTTTGGCAAATGCTCTAATGAACACTGTGGGATGGGTTATGGTTCTTAGCCAAGCTTTCACACCCTTGACATTTGGGGCACTATTCAGGGTAGGGCATTCTTCATTCTGTGCATTGTAGGATGTTTGGCAACATCCCTGGTTTCTATTCATTATATACCTATAGCACAGAATGTCTCCAGCCACTGCTGACAGTTCCCAAGGGTGCAAATTTGCCCTGATTGAGGACCACTGTTCTCAACTATAGTCTCCCATTACTTCCTTGTGAATTGGCTCTGAGATCCTAGCAGGGAATTGAGAGGATGAGAAATTTGTGGAACTCAGGAAAATCTGCAGCTCAGAAAATGGCTACAGAGGGTAGCTCTGAACTGGCTGTAATGGGCCAGATGTAACTTCCAGAGAGTTATAAGAAGCTTATATATGAAGACAAGCACAAGAGGCAAGAAGACAACCAAAAGGAAGAGGAAATACTGTGTTCTTTACTATAGGCTTTATGCAGACAACGATAAATACAACAGATAGAGAACCAAGGGTCTTATCTCTACTCCTCTTGGTTTTTAGGTCATGGGCTTATTCTTAGATTCCTTAACTATCAAAAGTGACTGTGATTTCAGACCTCATTATCTCAGATTGCTGTGTGAAGGCAATACATGAGAACATACTTTGTCATTGTGTTCCTGATGAAAGTGTCAAGAATTACTATTTTTATACAGCTGTGCCTCACATGAAAACTTAGAGGATGTCACTCAAAACTGTGGAGGGTGTGGGGAAAGAGACATCTCCATACTGGAGCAGACCCAAGGACTTTGGGTGAAAACCCAGGCCATGGTTCATAACTTGATCCTGGATTCCTGGGCATCAGGAACATTTATGGGAAACCACTAAGATTATAAAGTTATGTTTGAGTTATATATTGAGAGAGGGGTGTAAAATCCAACAATTAGCATTTTCTTTAGAAAGGAGTTCTGTTCATCTCAATTGATACTTATGGGTCTTCCCAAAAAGGAAGTCTTAATAAATCCCAGAATAAGGCCATGGTACTGTCTGTACTGCCTGTGTTCTATAGTGGAAAGAATGACTTGCTTGGCAATACTTAGAAAGTTATTTTAGGTAACTGTACACAGAATAATCATGATATTTTTTCTCATATCCTGTATGGAGAGCTGATAAAAATCTTTTTCAAGGCTTTTTTTTTGTTAAAGGCTGGGATTGGCTAGTAGACAAGATGAAAACAAATGAAAACACCAGGTTGAAAACCCACGGCAACAAAATTTTTTGGAACTTCTTAAAAGGTTATGTTAAGAATCAGTTCAAGTCTTTAAGGGAAGATTTAGTGCTTATTTGCACAGCCCTGGTAAAAATAACGAAACATGTTTGCCCTGGGGAGACTAGATTTTTATACCTGGTCAAAAGGAAGAACCATGTCAGCTCAGATTAACCGTGTGCTCCCTGGAGTATATATTGACAGAATTGAGAAGCCTGGGTATAAGCGCAAAGATGGAATTACCCCAACTTTGATTTAGGTAGGAAGTTAGACATCATTCTTTCTCATTTTCAAGGTTTCTGTTTACCAAACTACAAGTAAAAATGTATGGAATGACACTGAAATTTTTTATTGGAATTTTTATTGGAAAAAATGTATGGAAATATGCATTAGGCTTTCTATTTCTGAAATGCTGTTGGAGATTACAGTCATGTTAACTTGGAAACTGAGAGCTTAATGATAGTAAAATCTAGTAGCGTAGGAGGTAGCCATTCAGGGCGGAGATACCAGACTGCTTTTTCTTTGTTCCTTGTCGTTGGGAATAGTTTCCAACCCTTCCTCATTCTACTTCTCCCTCTTTTCATCCTTCAAACCAGAGAGCTAACTTATTTGCAAAACATTGTTACAGCAGTCATCTCATGGAGGTTAATTAATAAGTAACCACAGTTTAATGATACAAGGAATAGAATGACTAGTTGCCAGAAAGACAAAGGTGATTTGAAGAATGTTATAAGGTTTTAAAGAAAGTGCTCTAAACTGGTATTAGATACTTGCTTTATTTCTGTGAAATCTAGAATTTCCAAAAATATACCTCAGAACAATACAGAGAGGTTTATTAAAAAATGGAGTAGGCACCTTCAAAGTTAGTGGATTTCCAACACTGAATGATTTCTAAAAAGAAAAATGATTTATTCCCTGTGAAGGAAATCCACAAAATAGATGGACCAATCTTCATGAGTCCTACCTAAATTGAAATTGTATGATTTATAAATGCTTTTGAATTTATAGAGCTTCTGTGAGAAAAACACTGAAATTCGGTTTAAAAAACATATCTATTTTACATGTCATAATATGGATGAATCTAGAGGGCAAGAAGTCACAAAAGACAAATTCTGTATGATAATGAAATATCTAAAGTAGTCAAAGTAGCCAAACTAATAAAAGTGGGGACTCTTTTTCAGGGGCTGGTGTGTGGTGAGGAGATGGAGAATTGCTAAGCAATATGGAGTTTCAATTTCAGTAAGATGATAAAGTTCTGGCGATTGGATGCATAACAATGTGAATATACTTAACACTGTACACTTAAAAATGACTGAGATGGTGAATTTTGTTATTTTTTAAATCACAGTTCACTATTAAAATTTCTTTAAACTATTTGGCAGTCTATCTACTTCCCTCTTGCCTTGGCCATCAGTTATCTTCTAGTAATTGAATACATTAGAAGCATGATTTAAGGTGCCGTGTTATTTCCTCTCTCAAAACTTCCTTCTCTATTGGCTTCCGTGATCCCTCCTAAACCCTCTCTCTTATCCTTCTTTGTCTCTGGAGTTGTATTCTTCTTTTTCTCTAGACTTTTTAAAGATTTATTTATACATACAAGAACTGGGGTACAGGTCAGAGGTTGGGGGGAGGTAAGAGGATTCACCAGAGTGGGGAACAGAACAGGCAGACTGTCTGAAACACACTGCTGAGGGGAGCAGCAAGTGGGAAGGAGAGGTCTGCTGTGCCATGTTGGTTGCTTCCTGGCTGGCCAGAGATCAAACTCATGCTGCAGTGGCTATGGCTAGCTTCGTAGGTTGTATCTTAACCCCTTGCACCACCAGGGACGCCCCTTTTTCTCTAGACTTTGAATAGTTGAGTAGTAGCACAAAATGTAGAGGGTATAGCTAAGTGAGTTTGATTGATTGTATTAGTCTATCAGATAAGCTTTCAGTTCAGAGAATGAAAATTACTAGATTTTGAGTAGAGAAAAAAATAACAGTTCTGTAGCTGCTGTTATGGGGCCCAGGAAAACATGTATCATACTACCATTCAGCAAACACTTACTGAAATACTGCTACGTGGTAGGGATTCAGCAATGAATGAAATTGATTTCCATTTCATACCTTAGTCTCTTGTCAGTTCCCTCTTGCTGTGGCCATCAGTGATCTTCTAGTAACTGAATACATTAGAAGCATGATTTAAGGTGCTATGTTATTTCCTCTCTCGAAACTTCCTTCTATGATACCTCTTAAACCCTCTCTCTTGTCCTTCTTTTTCTCTAGAGTTGTTTCCTCTACTTGCAAGGAAGGCATGTGAGAGAAGCCAGTCTGAATATGAGTCCAGTGATATAGTAGCATTCTGGAAAAGGCAAAACTATGGAGACTGTAGAGTGATCAGTAATTGCCAGAGGTTTAGAGGGAGAGAGGGAATGTGGGAGGGGAATTTTAGAGCAGTAAAACTACTTTGCCTGATACTTTAAAATTGTGGATATATGTTATTATACACTTGTCAAAACCAATATAATGTACAGTATTGAAATGTAAACTGTGAATTTTAGTTAATGATAATATATCAGCATTGGTTTGTCAGTTGTGACAAATATCCCATTCTAATGCAAGATATTAATATTAGGGATACTGGAGAGTGGGAGATTGAAGGGGTATATGGGGACAATGTACTTTATGCTCATTTTTTTCTATAAACCTAACCTAGTAAAAAATAAAATCTATTAGTTATTGTATTATAAAAGTGCACCCCAATTCCTGAAAACAGGCCAGCAATTACCATCTATGTTTCCTTTATAAAGCACCTTCCCTAATGTCACTGAATATAAAGACATTAAGAAACTAAAGAAGATCTTAGTGGAACACAGGCAGACTCTTTTCTTAGTATTGATGAAAGCATTATAGAGGAAGAAGTGTGTGTTTCAGGAAATTCATGAAAATTTTGTATTCCTGTGGCGTGGGATAGCTTCTCAAATGGGCTAGCATAGCCATGCTTTTGAAAGCAAATGAAGAGTCTAATTACAGAAAGGAAAAATATTAAGTTTCACATCTTCTAAGAAGAATCCTAATGGTCATAACATTACTTTAAAAAATAGTATTATTGCTACTGATGATGATGATGATAATAGCCTTGAACATTCATTCAAAGCCTCTTATGTGCCAGAAAGCAAACACTTTTTTTTTTTTTAGATTTATTTATTTATTTATACAAGCACTGGGTACAGTCAGAAGCGCAGGAGGGTGAGAGAATTCACCAGAGCCAGAGTGGGGAACAGAACAGGCAGAGTGACGAAATACCTTGCTGAGGGGAGCAGCGGGCGGCAGGAGAGGTCTGCATGCCATGTGGGACCCTCGCCAGCAGCCGGGGATCAAACCAGCACTGCAGAGGCTGCGGGCAGCTTTGCAGTCCAGCGCTTACCCGCTGTGCCACCAGGGAAGGCCCAGAAAGCACTCACTTTTACCCACAAGATTGGTATCCTCATCATCCCCATTTTCAAGGTGAAGACTCACTAGGGTTAAGTCTTCTGCTGAAGGCCATGCAGCTCTTAAATAAGAGAATAATGTAAAAAACTTTTTGGCATTACAGTAAACTGCTGTTTTTTTATTTTTTAATAGGATGTATTTATTTGTTATGAAAGAATTGGATCATGTAGTTGTGGAAGCTGACAAGTCCCTCAAGAACTGCAGTTGGCAAGCAGGAGGTCCAGGAGAGCCAATGGGGTAGTTCCAGTCCAAAGGCCCTAAGTTCTGAGATCTAGGAAGAAATAATGTTTCACTGCTACTCCAAAGGTAGGAAAAACTGATCTGCATGCATGAGACCTTTGTCATAGTTATTTAAAACCCAGATTATGTGAAAGCTTTAGCTTCATCATTTCTACATTAAACCACAGCAGGGGGAAAGCTACATGAAACGTGAATCTCTGATAATAAATATTCTCTGCCTTGAGCAACATCTTTCTTTTGAATTTAAGAGAGGAAATGGCATAACTCTATTATGAATGTGGGGAGAAGAACATTCCTAAAACTTAGATCCTTTGTTTGAGATTCACACGAAATACCAGAGTGAACATGGGACTGCTTTGTATAGAACTGAAGCTCCTTGCTTGGTTGAGGCTGAATGCGAGATGATACTGGGGCCTGAATGTGGAAAGAGAATCAGGTACCATGCTGTTCCAAACTAGATAGAACACCAGCTGACTGCTGCTTGCAAAAGCCATTTGGTGCTGGGGGAATGTGGAGAGACTTAAATGGAAAAGTTTAATGGATGACTCAGGCACTTAAAAACTGCTCCCCCTGACACTGGTCACACCAGTGGATTTGTTAGTGAATTCTCCTGTGAAAACAAAGGTGCAGATGTTGTGTCTTCACATTTTATCATGCTTTTTCTTTCTTAATCACTTTACTTTTTTATCCACATGACAAGTTTGTGATGGCAGCTAGTATGGCACTGCAATTCCAGTTTACCCTAGGAAAAAATCTAGACCCGGGGAGGTTTTTGTCTTGGCTGAATTCAGGGGCCAGCAGGGAGTGGGAATTGTACTAGAACCAGGAATGTTTAGATTGGTCCTGCGCTCATTGCTTAATAGGTCACAGCAAATAAAAGAAAACCACAGATCTCATCATTCCAAGGTCTAGGTGAGGGTATATGAAGTGCAGACATATGCACAGGAAGAGGAAGCCATCCCAGACCCACTAAAATAATTTGTGGGCAAATGTCTTATTTTTGCTTTATCAGATGCAAAACCTAATATAAGGATTTTTGTGCAAGAAGTTCTATTGGGAGGTGGTGATTCCAGGAAAAAACAGTAGGAGAGTGAGAAACTGAGAAAAGGGCCAGTCAATTAAAGTTGCATGATCAAGTTTATTACCACTGTTTGTTACTAGAGGCTAATTGTGCTGGGTGACTCCTCAGGAGTCAAGGAAAAAAATATACTTCTTCATTTGCTTAAAGGGTTTAGAGAGTTGGGTGTACAGAGGAAATGTTGATTTCCCAACACTGTAGCCTGATTTAAGCAGGCTCCAGGTATGGTGTTATATCTCAAAATAATTTTAATTTTAATTTCACTAGTTGCTAATGATGTTAAATGTGTTTTCATTGTTTCTGCATATAAGACCTTTGTTGGGTACATGATTTAAAAATATTTTCTTGGAATCTGCTGTTTGTCTTTTTAGCCTTAACACGACATTTTTGCAGGTCAAAATCCTTAATTTTGATTAGATCCAATTAATTAATTTTTCCACTTGTGAATTGTGTTTTTGGTGTCAAGACAAAGAGCCCTTTGATTAGTCTTAAGTTCCAAATTATTTTATCCTATGTTCTTTTCTAGAAATTTTGGAATTTTAAGTCCATGATCCATTTTTGTGTAAGTTATATTTTGTATGATTTCATTTTGTGTATGGTCTGTGTGTTAAGTCGATGCTCATTTTTTCCAATGAATTCTCGAGTGTTCTAGCACCATTTATTGAAAAAGAGTCATTTCTCCATTGAACTGCTTTTATTTGCTGTTAAAAATTAATTGGTCATATTTGTGTGGTCAGTTTCTGGGTTGTCTTTTCTATCCCCTGGATCTTTGTGTCTATCCCTCTGTTAATACTATGCTATTGATTATTTCAGCTATGCAGCCTGAACATTGGGAAGAGTGGTTTCTTATTTATTCTTAATATCACAATTATTTTGAAAAGTAAATTTTGAGAGTTTTTCCCCTTTCCATGTAAATATTAGAATAAGGTTGTGCTGTGTCTGAACAAAGCTGAGATTTTAATAGGAATTTTCACACATATAGGTAAACTTAGGGAGAATTAACTCATTTACAATGTGGAGATTTCCAATTCATGAACATGTTATATTCTCTTCAAGTATTTAAGTCTTTTTTGAGTTTTTCCCCTCAGCATTTTATAATTTCTCATACAAGTTTTGTGACCCACTACTTGTTTATTACACTTACAACAAACTATTTCATTTTCTTTTGAGCTGTTGTATATGGTATCACATGTTTTCAGTTTCCCCTTATCCCTTATCATTATATAGAGGTTTTTAAAAATTAGGATGGAAGTAGAATTGTGCCAAGTACTTTTTTTGTTTTTATACCTATGAACATATGATTTTTTTTTTCTTTTGCCTGATGCTATATGAATTAGATTGAGTATATTTTGAATACTGAACCAGCTTACCCATATGGAATAAATACTACTTGGTTGTGATATATTACTCCTTTTATACAATGTTTGATTAGATTTGCTAAAGTTTTTTGAGTTCCCAGAATTCTGCTTCTCATTAGAAATTGACAATTTAGGACATGTAGCTCCTGTGGCACATAGGTTTTATATTTTCTGTGTGACTCAGTCTGCCTTGTGTAAAGGAAATAGGATTTTAGGGAAACTGGAAAGGCTGCATTTTCTCATGCTTACTGCTGAATGAAGTTTTAATTCAGGATAAATTATTCTGAAATTTGAGAGAAACAACTTGAAATGCAAAACACCTATGGGAAAAATTCATCAGTAGGTATTAACCTTGGGGGAAGCAGTGATAAAAGATATGGGATGGTGGTTATGGGATTTCATTTCCCCGTGAATTTTGAAAATATTATTAAAATTTAGAGTTTGAAGCTTAATAAACTGTGCACTTTAAAAAGATGTAACTGGACTTTCAGTTAGCCCAATTAACGCACTTTAAGAGAGAAGGGAACACAAGACTTATTATGGATGTGAGGTCTTCTGCCCACCTTCTCACATTCTTTCCTCATCAGAGAGCAGTCACCTTAGGGATTTGCTAAACATAAAAGGAAATTCTTCATCTAGACTCAATGACTGTAAAGTCAGAGAAAGAATAGTTTTGGCATAGTGGAAAGATTCCTCTGTTTTGAAGCCAGATGTTTATGTTCCACCCCTAGTCTTGGCAAAACAAACATTGTAAAGTTAAACAAATCACTTCATATCACTAACTACAATTTTCATTATCTGTGGGACAGATTATTAACCTCAGAAGGGTACATTGTACATTGTCAGGTGCTTGGGAATTGAGTCTGCTACTCGTGGTGGAGAAAATCAATTTCCTTTATGCAAGGATTATGTTTACACTTGATGTTGTTAATGTCTGGGCACTAAAACACTGTGTATTGGCTCCTGAACTTGAGTAAGCACTGGAAGTTTTTAAACAGACATTTAGACCTGTCCTAGACTAAATGAATCAGAATTTCATTGGGCCAGATCCACAATTCAGTCCTCTGGCCACTGCCAGTGCCTGTAGAATTCAGATTCTTTTTCCTCCCTTTCTTTTATTTAGCCTATTAGTGCTGAATTTACTGATATGAATTTTTGAGAAAACTTGCAGTGAAAAAAATAGGGGAATTAAACAGAACAGCTTTCTCTGTTGTGATTATTGTGTATGGATATATTATAAAATTAATATGCTTATAATTTCTTAAATGCTATACAGGAATCATCCCTATCAGGGAAAGCTTCAAAGAAAAGATAAGATAATAATGAGACATAACCTTTTTTCTTTCTTTCTACCTTTTGACCTCCTTCACCCATTTACCTTACCTCCCTACCTCTGGTACCTACCTACCCCCAATATATGGTTCTTGTATCTATAAACTTGTTTTGTTTTGTTTTTGATACCACATATAAGAAAGATCATATAGTATTTGTCCTTGCCAGACTTAAATTCACTTAGCATAAGGCCCTCAAAGTTTATCCCTGTCAAAAAAGGCAAGGCTTTTTTTTTTGGTTATGGCTGAGTAATATTCCACTGTATACATACATACCATAATTTCTTTTTGTATTAGTATATATATATTTAAAGGTTTATTTATTTATACAAGCACTAGGGTACAAACCAGAGGTGCGAGAGGGTGAGAAAATTCACCAGAGACAGAGCAGGGAGCAGAACAGGCAGAAGGACTGAAATACACTGCTGAGGGGAGCAGTGGGTAAGACAGGAGAGGTCTGCCGCGCCATGTGGGAATCTCCTTGGCCTGCTGGGAATCGAACCAACACTGCAGAGGCTGTGGATAGCTTCACAGCGCTGTGCTCAACCCGCTGCACCACTGGGGAGGTCCCTGTGTTAGGATATTGATGGGCACTTTTATTCCATTTTGGCTATTGTACATAATGTTGCAATAAACAGGAGGTGCAGATATTGTTTTGAGTTAATGTTTTTGTTTTATTTGGATAAATATTAATTGGAATTGCTAGATTATATGGTAGTTTTATTTTTAATTTTTTGAGGCGCCTCCATGTTCCATAGTGTCTGTACCAATTTTCGTAAGATTCAACGTTTTAATTTATTTGGCATAGATGAACTGGGGTGTAGGCCAGAGGTGCAGTGGAGGTGAGAGTATTCACCAGAGACAGAGTAGGGAGCAGAACATGCAGATCTACTGAAATACACTGCTGAGGGGAGCAGCGGGGAAAACAGGAGAGGTCTGCTGTGCCATGCGGGTCAGCTCCCTGGCTGGGGATCAAACTCAGGCCATCCCAGTGAGCCTTTGTGGTGGTAGCCACTGAGATTTAACCCCTAGGCCACTAGGGAGGCCCTAGAATTGATATTTTTGAAGTCTCCAAGGTGATGTTGATTGGCCAAATTTGGAGAGACCAATGCTTTTCAAACTTTAAAGTGTATGAGATTCACCCAGGGCTCTTGTTGAAGTGGAGATTCTAATTTGGTAGACTTGGTGCGGGTGCTAAGAAGCCACATTTTCAAGGAGCTCCCCCTTGGATTCAGGTCCTGTGTGTTGGTGTAGAAGATCCACACTTGAGGGAACATGAGTTGAGGCCTCCTTTGAGTG